GGGGCGGGGGCAGCGGCGGCTCCGCGCTGAGGGACGCTGGCTCAGAACTGCGAGCGTCGACACCCGCCCACTACGCCCCCGCCTCCCTGCGTCAGCGCCCGCCTGAGCCGCCGCTTATAAAAGCTCGGCTGCCGCCGCCCATTGGCTGGCTAGAGGGAGGCACGTGACCCGGAGGCTGCAGGGGGAGGAGGGGGCGTGGCGCGCGGGCCAATCCGGAGCGGCTCGGGGTGGGGGCGGGGCTTCACTGGTCCCTCTAAGGCGGGAAGCGCCCGGGGCTGCGGCCCTGCGAGCATCCTTGTCACGGTCCGCTCCGCCCGGGGACTGACCTGGCCTGGCTCTAGGCGCAAAGCAGCCTTAGGCTGCCACCGGGGCTTTCGTTGCCGCCCGCCTCGTGCCCTGCATTGGGCTTTTTCAACCAGCGCAGGCTGGAGGTCCCTTGACTGGGGGCAGAGTTGGCACTGTTAGGTTTACAAGCATGATTCACAGGGGAAACTCAGTGGTTTCCCATAGCAATCCATAGCTGGGGGCTGGAGGAGTTCTCAGCAGAAATACTTCTCCATTTTTCCAGCCAAAAAAACCCACACCAGAGTGAAAACAAAGCTGGCATTTTGTAAGCTTGCCTCCAGTCAAAGAAAAGCAGCTGAGAGCCTGTCCCTCCTCTACCTGTAGGCAGCACTGTACCTAGACTCCTGTCAGCCCCAAGGGAATTTCTAGTGTTGACTGCCCTTCACCAGAGATGATAATAGTAATCGGACAAGGGGAAAAAAAAATCACCGTTTTTGGGCCCCCTTTCTGTCTGGGCCCTGGGCAGCTGCCCGGTTTGCCCATGCCTGTGTCCAGCCCTGCCTGTAGGCACCATCATGTTACTGAGAAGCATTTCAGCAAGGCTGTAGCCCACAGGTGCTGAGCATCAGTTTGCATTTCAGGACACAAGATTGAAAGGCTCTTTCAAAATAAAGGAAAACCCAGTCCTCACACTGGCATTTCTATTTTGGGGAGCAACTAACTGCTGTTCACCTCCTGTCTGCCAGCAAGCTCAGGCTGGCTTTCCATGCCAGGCCAACATATGGAAAAAAGATAAAGAGGTGGAAGCAGACATAAGCTGGAGGAGGTTTCTCCCCCCCGCCCCCCCCATTTTTATGTGGAGCGAGCAAGGGGTGCTTTATGGTCTTAATAAAATATTTCCCCCCCATGTCCAATAAAAGATATCACTGCAGGAAATCTTTGCTGCCTCCTTTGTAGGCATCTTTCAACTAAACCACAATGTCTTTGTAACCCCACATAGTGCATCTATACTTAAACTCTAAGGCCATATCTAGATGAGCGTGGTTGTGTGGTTTGCAGCACCACATACCATACAGTCCGGTGTTCTCTGCACTGCAAGGGCACACTGCCTGAGTGTGTACTGCACCAGGTTTTTTTTTCCCATAGGTTTTTTTCACCCTTGGGTATCCAGGGGTCAAAAAAAACTGGGGGAAAAAAACCTGGAGCAACTCATACTTAGCTAGTGCACGCTACTGAAAAGCGGAGCCGGGCCTCCCAGAGCTGCGCTTTGCTGCCAGCCAGGCTCTGCATGGCAGAATTGCCATGGCTGCAGCCCCAGGAGGCCCCAGGTCCCCAGGTAAGGCTGCTGGGGCCAACACAGTGCTGCCCCAGCCTCCCCTACCTGACCCGGGGCAACTTGCCATGTGCTAAAGTGCACGTGGCATGGGAGTTCCCTGAGGACAAGTAGCAGCAGGGCAAGGTGCACTGCTGCTACTTATGTCCCGGAAACCAAATGTGCACACACGTCTGGACACACCCTGATGGGCAGACTGAGCAATAATGGCAACATCTTGTGTTCATGTTAGACTAGGGTGGCCACTGAGGCATCCTCAGACTAGAGGACAGCCCCTTGGTGAGGGCCTGCAGCCAAATCAGCAGTGAGAGATGGGGCTGCCACCCCCTTGGCCAGTCAGCAGCAAGGGGCGGGGCCACCCAAAAAGACTACTATTAGGTCCATGAATGAATGAACATGTGGCACCTTGTGAAAGGAGAGAGAGCTAGTGCTAGGATCAGCAGCAAGTTTGTGAGCCTCTGCAGCTCAGCCAGCAGGGAACATCACTGCCTCCTCCTGCCCGGTGGTTTCACGTATCCCACAGCTCTGCCATTCTCTCTACAGAGTCCGGCGTTGAGAAAACGTGGCATAACAGGTGTGAGGCTTGAGCACCCCCTCCCCCTACTGCAGGGGTGGCAAAATGCGGCCCAGGCCATTCTGTCCAGCCCACGGGGCCCCTAAAAAATTTAGAAAATTAACATTTGTCTGCCCTGGGCTGCCTGTTACGCAGCCCTCGATGGCTTGCCAAAACTCAGTAAGTGGCCCTCTGCCCAAAATAATTGCCTGCCCCTGCCCTACTGGGATCCGGTCTCCCTCCAACCCAGCTCCACACTTGGGAGCCAGCGGTGTACACTGCGCAGGGACCTCACCTCCCCATTCCCCCCATCAGCATAGACCCTGGGCACCTGGGAATCTGCCCTGGGCACATTTTGGTCAGAGCTGGTCTAAGTGGGGTTGGTGGGCATCAGATACCTGTGGCAGTGCATCCAGCTGCCTGGTGGGACCTTCCCTTCCTTCCCTGGGAGGCAGACAGGTTGGCTTGTCCCGGAGGAGAAATAATGGCTTAAGGAGCTGGCTCAGTCACCCAGGAACCCAGAGGCCCCTCTGCAAAAGCTGCAGCAGGATACCCCAGGGACTCAGCAGGCTGCTCTGTGGGTATGAAGATGGTAACAAGTCTCCTCCCAGTCCCATGGGCGTTCCAGCAGGTACAAATGCAGCGGGCCACCTGTCTGCTCTCAGGATAGAATGAAACCATCCTTAAAAGGGCTCATGAGTATTAAGTCAAAGCATTACAGCTTAAATATTAATACTGAGATATTCTGAGTATTGTAGCATATGTAGAAATGTATGCCACATCCACCACCATAGTATAATAGTGGTAAACAATCCTACAGTATTAGTTTATAAGTTGAGCGACAGAACAGCCTTTAGGATGAAGATTACTGTAATAAAAATGAGCATAAGTCAGTATATACTTGTCACAAATACTTTGTCTACTAACAACTTTATCAAAAAGCATAGATTATTTCTTTGTGACAGCACACAGATAGGAGTAGATTGGTAGAATGTGTCATGACTAAATTCATTTGCATTATTTCTTGTTTGCAGCACTCCAGTTAGCTACATGCACTATCATACAACATCAAAGTCTAGAAATACTCCTAAAAAGTAGATAAGCAGACACAATTAAGCTGCTCATTTTCCCCCTCAAGTTATGAAAAGTGCTGGAATGCAGTTGCAGGGGGTCTGAATACATCCAATTGATGGTTACATCAGTATTCTTTATAGGTCTGCAGAAATGGGTTTATATAAAAATGACTGTTGATCACTACTTGTTCATGAATAGAAACATGAGTTTTGGTTCTGTAATGCCCAGCAGATGTTATTTATTGGAACAGTAGCTTATTGCTGCCAGTGCCACCCAGGCAGCCAGAATCTGACAATTCCTTTGAGACACAAGATGAATCCAAAAATCATGGCTAGTAGCCACAGAATTCCACTGCAATCAGGGGAACTGCAGCATCAGACTGTCATTCTAACTTCTGTAATATAAAGCAACAACTGAAGTTGCTTTATCAGCAGCATCATATTAAAGGTAGAAGTGGGCTGGAAATGTGCTTTGTGTTTAGGAATGTCCCTAAAGCCTTAAGTACATTCCTAGGAACAGAAGTATGAGAGGTAGTGTCTTGCTCTGTGCAGAATAACAAGATAGTTTGTTTGCCTGTAAGATGGGCCATGGAGGCACAAAATCACCATCCCTCTCTGAGTACAAGTTAGTTAAATGCAGGTGATGCAATTTCAGATTGTCATCTAGGAAAAGACTTAAGGTTGGCTAAAATGTGTTTAATGTTCTCCCTTCTCTTTTTAGAATAATGTACAAAGGAGGGGCAAGCTGCCAGTTCAATTGTCTATCATGAATGCATTAAGATTAGATGATCATAATAGTCCCTTTCTGGCCTTAAAATATATGAATGGGTTGAATTGACGTTTGTTAATTGTCAGGCTGGAGAATGTAGAGTTCTTGCAGGCTTGGCTGTAGTCAGAGAGGAAACTGCTGATTAGCTGGGAGTATGGAGGGAGACTCTCTTCCTGACAACAGCACTTCAAATTTGTGGATTATGATTCTAGAGAAGAGGTTTGAAATAGGTTCTTGGCTGCCCTTTTGAAAGTAATGACACTTCTTAATAGTTGTCTGCTGAAGAAAAAAACAGAAGCACAAAAACCCCAAAATCTTATTCAGTACTTTCAATCCTTAGAGCATTTCACAACCATTAACTCTCCCCTCCATAACACCCTGTGAAGTAACAAGGTAAGTGTTATCATCTTTATTTTATTTACATTATTTTACACCTCCTTCTTTCAAGGTCAATGTGAAAACTGGTGCTAGAGCTAGAAAGGATTTTTTTCTTCATAAGCTAGCAAGAGAAAGAAAAGAATTTGGCCCTAGCAATCTAACATGATTCCACAAAAAAGGCAAAATATTAAAATCTTGGCTGACATTCTGGCCTTTAAACTTCTGCCAGTTTGCTGCTTTGCCAAGGGACGGGTTTATCTGAAAG